AAAATTTTTAAAAATTTTTTCTTTGAAAATAATTTTAAAAAGATTAAAAAAATATTAAAATAAATATTATTTATTAATTTATTTTATTAAATATTTGAAATAAAATTAAAATTAAAATATTAAATATTTGGTTATTTATTATCAATCATTTATTCATTCTTTTTATAATATCTTTCTGTATTTATGATAATTATATATTTCTTAACGATATCAATTAAATTCTTTTTTTTTCTTTTAGTAGTTTAATAATTTTCTTTTTTTTTTTTAATTTGTATGATTCAATATATTTATATATATAATTTGTATAGCTTATAAAATTAGCCAAAAATATTGAATTTTTCAATATTATTTAAATATATTAATTTTTTGCAAATTTATTTATATTGTTTATTTAAATTCATCGTTTAGGAATACAAATTTATTAATATATGCAATTCTTATAGTTCCGAGATATACACATTGTGATTTATAATTTTTTTTTAACATAAATGATGATAGACAAAAAAAATTTATATATAAAATATTTTTATGAAACACATCAATTAATTTTAATGAATCTTTGCTATAATATATATAATATGTTATCTTTTCAATCTTTTCAATTAAATTTTTTACATTCTAAAAAGTTAATCTTTTTGAACCATTTAATTTAAAAAAAATTCAAATTGATAAATTGATTTAAGTTTTAGAAAAAAACATTTGTTAATATTTTATTGTATAAAATGTTATAATTTATATATAACATCTTTGAATTTACAAATAAAAATTAAATATTTCAATTTATTCAATTTAATTGAACTATTTTGCATTCATGCATTAATCTTTTTGTTAAATATTGAAGAAAATTTTATTATATATATTAAGAAATATTACAAATTATAATATTAAAAATTATATATTCTTCTTTTATGTAAATATTATTTATTATATATTTATTATGTATAATAAAATATCATGTTTTTTATTATATTAAGAATTATATTATTTGAATATACTATAGATACAAAGAAGATGGTTATAATAAAGGAAAACCAGAATTTATACCTCCATCTCCTGTACGCCTCCAATGGGATTTAACTCCAAATTGCATAGCTGCTATTGAAGAATCAAATCAAGTAATAATCATAAAATTAAAATTAAAAAATTTTTATTTTTTGGAATTCTAATTTATATTTGATAAAATAAAATAGAATATAATAAAAGATGTATAATAAACAAAAAATCAAAATACTTAAAAATATTAAAACTTTTATATGATATAAAATATTTTTATATATATTAAAAGAATTTTTAATTGTTAGGTTGCACAAAATTTATTAAATGACGTTGAATTACGTATTTATGTACATAATGCATATGGTAAAGGTTTTATGAAGATTAATTCAATGTCACCGGATGCATATATACAAATGGCTTTACAACTAGCTTATTTTCGTGATGCTGGTAAATTTAATTTAACTTATGAAGCTTCTATGACAAGACTATTTCGAGAAGGAAGAACAGAAACAGTAAGACCATGCACAATTGAATCTACAAATTGGGTAAAAGCAATGGAAAATAAAGATGCAACTGTAAGTAATTTTATAAAACTTATTAAATTTAAAAAAGAGTAATAAACAGGCATTTAAAATAATAAAATAAATTTTTTAAAATATAATAAAAATATAATAGAAACATCTAAGATATTTTGAAAACTTGTTTAGTTAATTTTTTATTTTATTAACCCTTTACACTCCAGGACTGTTTTACTCGGTCGAATCAATAACTCCAGATTCAGACCCGCGCGTTCGGTGCGTTCGGTGATCATAAGATTACTATAATTACTCATAAGATTACACCTCATAAAATTATACGTAAAGAGCTTAGGAATCTATTTATGAAGCGATATTCTAAAAAAATCAAACATAAATAAATATTGTCGCCGTTCAAGTTGTCGCAACAATTTCAATGGTGCCGGAGAGTTACCACTGGAGTTACAGCATTAACTCAAATAGTGATCGAGAGTCACTGTTGGAGAGCAAAAAGTTAATTTTGTTAAGAAACTTTTCGTTTTTAAGAATTTGTCAATTTATTATCACTTTTAATGTTTCTAAATATTAAATATGTTTCTTGTCTCTAAAAGTATTATATTAATATTTAAAAAATTAATGATTATGTAATAAATTCATATATGTATAATAATTGAAATCAATATTTGATTAATAAATTATAGTTTACTTTGAAATTAATATATGCTATAAGAAAAATATTGTATAGTCACAAAATGTAATATAAAGAAAATCATAAATTTCATAAATAATATTAAAAACTTTAATGTTATTACATGACAATATTACGTTTATATAATTATTATATCAAAAAGCGAGTTTCAATTGTTTTAATTTGAAACGTCATATTTTAGATTTAATTCTGAATTTTTTTCTAAAAAAATTGTAAAATTTTTTTATACTTTACATCCATTTATTTATATTTTAAAATTACTTATTATTTTTAAATAAAATAATTAAAATTAATTAAAATAAGATATTTAGATTTTTTATTTTAAAAAAAATGTATATTATTAGATGACATAATTCTGATCATTCATTTTATCTAAATAATAAAAAAACAAAAATTTTTAAAAATTATAAAATTTTAAAGTTGAATTGTGCAATTATTCCAAGATTTGATCCCTCGATATACATATATAGATGATTTCTTAAAATTTTTTATATTATATAAAATTAAATGAAAAATACATATATAATTTATAATTTATATATTTATAATTACGAATAAATTACCAATCTAAATTTTTTAACTTAACTTTTTTGATACTTTTTGATAGATTTGATTTGATTAAATTGTATTTTTTAACCAATATTTCTTATTATTTTTGGAGATTAATTATTTTTATTGTATATGTGCGTTTATTTAATTAATAAAACAATTCAAGAAAATATTAACAGAATTAATTAAAATTAATAATGACAACAATTACTTTTAAGTGTATGATTAAGAGTAAGAAGTTAAATAATGTTAAATAATGATTATTTTGATCTTTAATAATTTAAATAAATCTTTGTTAGATTATTTTCAAAACTATTATTAATATAAGAATTTTTATTTGATTATGATACTTTATATTACTTTTTTTTTTTTAATCAGTTATAACTTTATTATAATTATGAACTTTGACAAATTCTATAATTTATTATTGTTTCAATTTGATATCAATATACAAATTAAATTGAGAAAAACAATAATGATCTAATTCTTATTATTTTAAGAATATATTCTTTATGATTTTTATTAAGATTCTTTTACTTTATTTATATATAAGTTATTCATAATGATTATATATATACTTAAATATATATATATGTTTTTTTTTCTGTATTGAAATTTTTTCATTATTGCAAAATTGATTTTTTTTGAATTTTTATAAAATTGATTTCACTAAAATATTATGCTAAAAAATAATATGTAATATATATAATAATTTTTTATTCAAAAATGAAAAATAACTTAATTTTTTTTAATACAAAGTAATGATATAGAGTCAAATCAATTATTCATAATTGTAAAAATATTATAAAATTAAATAAATATTTATAATTATATAGTCTATTTTTTAGGTTTTTTTAATAAAAGTTCTATACAAAAATTTCAGTTTTAATTAATTTGTTTTTATTTTGATATTATAATTTAGTTTGATTTATTTCTTTATAGATTGAAATTAAATATAAATTATTAATGACAGCAGCAAAGCAACATCAAAAAGGTTATCAAGATGCTATGTGTGGTAAAGGAATAGATAGACATCTATTTTGTTTATATGTAGTATCTAAATATTTAGAAGTGGACTCTCCCTTCTTGAAGGTAATATTCAATAAAAAATTTATATTTATATTTATATTTATTTTTGAAAAATGTTCTAATTTTTTAGGAAGTATTAAGTGAACCATGGAAGTTATCTACTTCACAAACTCCACATGGTCAAACTTCATTAATTAATTTGAAAAAATATCCAAATTGTATCTCTGCAGGAGGTGGTTTTGGTCCTGTAGCTGATGATGGTTATGGTGTTTCTTATATTATTGCTGGAGAAAATCTTATATTTTTCCATATTTCATGTAAACGTAGTTCTCCACAAACAGTAAGTATAAAATATTATTAAATAATTCACACATGATTATTAAATAATTCAGTATTATTCACAATAATATTATCAACTACTTTAATCTTTTTGAAACTATATATCATTGTTCACTTTAAATTATAACAATTGTTCCAATATTATAAAGTGAACTTCAATATATTTCAACAATTTCTAAAAATAAAATTATCAAAAAATATTTGCATTCACGGAATATTTAAAAATATAAATATAATATTTGATTTTGATATTAATATTATGATTATTTCAATATTATGACTATTGTTAATACTAACTTAACTTATTTAAATTTTTATTAATATGTAACTTCATTTTTTTAATATTGATCATATATATATATCATTTATATTAATAAATATGTCTCGAAAAGTACAAAGCAGATTAAAAATAAAATATTATTGTCAGTATTACTGATCCTTTTACATGATCATTTATATAAATCTTGTTAATATCTAAAATATTTATATAACTCTGGTTATTTTTAGAATGCTGCCAGATTTGCAAAACAAATAGAAAAAGCATTAGCTGATATGAAGATTTTGTTTCTTGAAAGAAAGAAATTGCAAGAACAACAAAAAAATGGTTCACTATAATTATTTTAGAGCAAAAAAAAAAAAAAACTACAATATAATAATTATAAAAATTTATTTTAATTTTTTTCTAAATATTTTAAAATAATTGAATAAATAAAAATATATCTATTTTAAACNATAAATAGAAAAAAATAATAAGTAAAATTTATTCAAAAGAATAAATATAAAAATTAAAACTAAGTTTAACAAATATTAGATGATTAAAATTAATTAGAAATGCAAACTATTATGATTAATTTTCTTATAATATTTTCTTATAATTTATATTTTTTCAAAATATTATTCAAATATTTGAAATAAATATATATATATATATATATATATATATTAAATTTAAAAACACACAAAATTTAACTACATTTATTTTTATAATAAATATTTATAAAAAATATTTTTATATGAAAGAGAATTATCAAGTATGACGATTAAAAAATTCTATTA